TTTTTTTCTCTTTTATTTCAAAAAAAAAAAACCATTTAAAAGAAGTAAAAAAGGGATATTATTGCACCAACATCATCACATGATATTTGATTCTAACTTACGGAAGAACCCAATTAGTGGCTAATTAGATGCAACCGAATGGGACCATTATACAAGTTGATTTATGTTTACACTCAATATTTTTGTTTTATAGTAATAATAATACTTAATACATCCTTTAAGGTGTTGATAATAAAAATATAACAAATATAACAAATAAATATGATGATACAATAAATCAATTAAATTACATATTTGAAACTAAATATAACAAATAAATGAAGTTGAAATAGACTCATTAAAACTCAAAACTAATGAACTTTTGTTAGCTATTTTATTATTAGCTTTGCTTGCAAAAGGAAAAAAAATCATTTGAAGCAAATGCAGAGATTTATGCATCTTGATTTGTTCATCAAATAATCCATCCGTACAATTTCTTATTTTAATAAAGAAATAAAATCCCAAATCCTAAACTCTAGACCCACAACCATGTTTAATAAAGAAATAAACCCTAAATCATAGACCCACTAGATATAATTTCTCCTTTATAAAAAGAAAAAAAAATTGGTAGACCTTAAATCCTAGACTCACTCGAAGAAAACTTATCTTTTTAATAAGAAATAAAACTCCTACATCTTGAATCGTAAACCCTAGACCTTAAACCTTAAGCCATAAAGCAAAGTAATTGTCCTTTGTGGATGACGTAGTGGTTGTTGACGAGGATCCCACATTGAAAAGAAAAGGGATCATACAATGGTTTATCAGAGTCCAAAACGCTCAAACGAACAATTGATCCAAAAGTGGGATTCGGATCGATGAGCCAAAAATTTTTAGATTTCTGTCGGTAGGATTTTATTTTAATTCCGATTTTACCCTTTTACATTTATTATAGGTATTTGTTTTTTTTAAATATAAAAGGTTTCCCTTAATTCACTCATTCAAAACCTTACTTTACTCCTTCAAAAAGATTGATTTTCCCTTAATTCACTCTGTTGCTCAATCTTTAAGGACAATTAAAAATCACAAAAACATCTTTTGAGGTCTCAATAAACAAATATCCCAATATTCAAAAAATATATTCAAAATCACAGTATATATCCACCTATATATCCGCATATATAAATTCAAAATCACTATAATATATTCGCATATCAGCATATATACAAGTTGAGTTATATGATATATCATAATCAAACTTACTATAATATATATCCTCATACATACAAAATAGTTCACATGAAATCAAAAATCGAAAACAACTGTTGGAATGCAAACCTTTCAATCGGGATAAACGGAGACGAACTGCTGTGACGACGGAGAAAAACGGAGGCGGCCGGAGATGAAGGTAGCCGGAGATGTCAGCCGGAGACGAATGCAGGTAGAAACGACCGGAGAAGAAGGAAGGACAAAAATCTTCTTTCAAACAGGATAAATAGAGACGGGCGACAGAGAAAAACAGAGCCGGCCGGAGAGGAAGGCAGACATAGACGAACGGTCAGAGAAGAAGAATGGACAATCGAAGGAAGAAAACCGGACGGCCGGAGGAAGAAAAGAAAAACGGATGGTCGGAGGAAGAAGAAAGGGATTTCAAAAATGGATGGATTTTTGAGGTTTTGAGATTTTTTATTTTATTTTGGAAAGTATAATTAAGCACAATGTTTTAAATTGTAATCTCCCAATTTACCTTTTCTAGATTTAAAAAGTTATTTAATATTGAGGTAGATCCTATAGTAATTTGTATGTGATGGGTACCATCTTTATTAGTGTTGTTTCAGGACAAAAGTGTAAATTTAATACATTTCAATATTTTATGTAATTACGATTCTTAAATAGGTTATCAGTGTACTAATCCTTATTTATTATAAACATTCAAATTAAGTAATATCGATATGTAAAACTAAAAGCATAATAAATCATTAGTTTGTTTAATATAAATATTAAAATTTCTTCTACACAATACTAAAAATTATAATTTTATATATACATAATTTGATAGTTTGTTCAAAATAAACTTATATTGAATTATCCGCCTAAATGTAGAAACAATATAATAAATTTCTTTTCTTTTTTTTTTTTTGAAAAAAAGATCACCATTCATAAAAATATAATAAAATTTTAAATATTTGGTAAAAGTTATTTTGTTTTTGATATAAATAGTTGAAAGAATATATTTTTAAAAATTTTTAAAAGTTCAACACTTGTCTAAAACTTGTAAAAAATTTTAAAAATTGAAACAACTTACGGAGAGTTTAGGGTAAAAGAAAATATATTATTCAACATTTAAAAGGTGAGAGATGGAACAAAAATAAATATGAAAATTCAGTAGTAGATTTGGATTAACACACCTTCAAATTATTCCTTCAATCGCATACATAGCATAAAGCCAAAAGCTAATTAAGCTTCAACATCTGTAGCTATATATATATATATATATTCGAGTATTTGTTAATTATCGCTAAGCTAGGCTCGTTTTGACATATCTGCAACTAATTATAATTAATAATTAGGCAGTACAATTATTTCCACCGGGTCCTCCAAAAGTGATGCAATAATAAAACTGCCCCCCACATCTCTCACTATTGTTCAAAGCATAACAATTATTGTTACTTACATAACTCGCTGTATTCTCAATAGCAGAAACTTCGCTTTCGTTGTTTTCATTTATGTAGTTCAACGTTCTGAAATAGCAAGCGTCGTCGTGCTTACCATAATTTGGCTTGTGGCCATTGCCCAATGGAGGGCTCATTCCATTTGGTGAAGGCTTTGCAATGCCTCCCCATGCCACTTGCTCGGCCCCATCATTCAGATGTCCAAACAGTTCCTTTGGCCAATACCCTATTGTTGTTTGGCTATCACTCACTGCAAGCCACCAATCCCCCGTTGGTCGATCCTAAAATAATTTCACACATAACATATCATGAAGAAGAGAATTAGTATCATGGATATCAAAGACGTCGATCTTTAATTGAATGTTGTTTGTACATCATCGTCTCACGGTGGTTAGAATCTGGGAAGATCCATGATACACGTGTGAGAACAAGAATATCAATCTGATTAGTATGAGATCATTTGGTGGAGACACGAAACAAAAAAAAATTGTGATTTTAGGCTTAGAGTGGACAATATATATCATAAAATTGTAAAAATATGCTTAGATCAAGGCACTGGACTTGGTAGCCCACCTACTGGTCTTTTTTTGGATTCTAAAAAGCATGATTTATATTTAGATATTAAATATGTCATATATGAGCGAGGACAATTTTGTTACCTGAAAAACCGTAAATGTATAGTCATATTGTTTCCCTTGATAGGTAGACGATGGGTAAAGGGGGATATTAGGAGGAGTACTTGGATTTGTTTGTATAAAACATCGACAAAACATGTTGTAGTATCCGGTGTGAATACCTCCATCAGCCTGTTGAAATTTTAAGATCAATAAGATCAAGTAAATAGTTGAAATTGAAATGTAAAAATTACAAAAATAAGTAAAATAATTCTATTAGAAAAACAAATTTACATTAAAAGTCCTCAACAAGAAAACACTACATACATATAGAGGAGAATAATTCGCATAATATCTCACTTTTAAAGTTGTATTGTGGACTTCCAAATTCGGCCTATAATTTTGGATCATAAATTTATAACGCAAATAATCAAAGAAAAATCATAAAAATTAAAGGGGAAGAATGGCAGTTCCTTACCGTCCAATACACAAACATTCTAGTGCGACTATCACCGTTGATCATTGGATTTACCTAATAAACCAAACAATATAAAAATAAATAAATAAGTCAAGCTTGACAAAATTATCATCTAGACATCCATCATAGGAGTAATAAAATGATTTTATTTTACCTGCCAGCCGGTCAGTATTACATTGGGAGCTTCAGGAGGTCCACCAATTATCCATATGTTAGAAGAAGAAGATTGATCTTGAGCCACACTCAAATTGTATACCGACACACTTCTAGCATCTCCATAATATTTCTTACCTCTCTTCATAGCAACAGAAGCCACCTAATTCGACACAGAAAAATACATATAATAGAAATCACATTAGTAACTTAGAAAGATATATATATATATTTTAATTGACTCGGGCAGAGAGGCTTACATTTTGATTGTATCGGAAGTTGACTCCACCATTTATACTTGTTTTGACATCGGTTGGTTGCTTTGATGATAGAGATCTCATTCTAATCAAATCTTTCTTTAATGTTCTTCGGATAGGAACATATCCATCTGGACAAGCTCTCTTGTTATTTATGAGTGAGTTATCTTTTGATGAAGATGAATCATTTGAGAAGCCAAATGGATAGGTATTCGTCGAGTCTATTACATGTAAAAATAAGAAAAATAATGAAAGGAAAAGAATATTATATATGCGCAAAAAAAGAAAATACATTTATAATTTTTGTATTTTGAGAAGATGTTCTCTGACGACCCAATTCATCCATAACTATTTTTCTAACTGGCATATTTGAACAATACTTTCCATTCATTCTTTTTTTTTTCCATTGTAGGTATATATTTTGTATTTCCTTAACAAAAGCATCCATCAAAACAACAAATCCCTAGACTTACCATCTTCCTTTTAAACGTCACTTACAGAGAGTAAATCACTAGAAAAAGAAAAAAAAATATGATCAAAACTTTATAAGAGTTTAAAAAAAAGAGAGAGTTTTAAAAAAAAAGAGAGGCGTAAAATAAAGATATAAATACCTGAACTTTGTGATTTTTTAGTAAAGGATGATCGAGTGCCGGTTGTTTATTGATGTCGACACAATCAATGATATCTCCCTCTTCGGTCTAACCACAGAAGGTTAGAGAGTAAACATATTGTCTAATTTGTCCTACATTTAATGCAATTTTATGTAATTAAAACAATCATCCAAATCAAGTTCATAAATTTTTTCATTGGAATGAGTTTTATACTTTTGAAAACCAAATACCAACAATCCCAAAAGACAGTTCAAGAGTTGAGACACATATCAAATCAATAGTTATAATATACAATTATGTAAAAATCAATCTCGTTATAGTTTGCTCATTGGAATTTTGGTTTAAAAAAAAAAAACCTGAAACGTTGTAATGGATGGCTTGTTGAGAAGTTTGAGTTGCATTTCGAATTCCAATTCTTCTTCCATTGAGAGGTTTGAATCAAAAGCCAAGCTGCCTTTGCAGTTTAAGTGGAGTAACAATACTATCATCAACCACATTATTGCTTTGGAAGCCATTCTTCCAAATACAACTGAATTTGCTTCTTCAATAAAATCGATTCATATCAATATATTTATACTTCAAAATGAAATCATTGGAAACCAATTCGTCCTTGACCTATTATTTTCCCTTAATTTAGAAAGAAAATAAATTTGTGCCTATCAATATGAAACCGTTCCCTTATTAGAAAATGACAATTAAAGTAGTTATTTTAATGTGTACGTTATAATTTTAAGCATCTAAACCTATTGTTAAGAATCCCACGTTGAAAAAATAATTGACCTAACAAAAGTTTATTGTATAAGTGGACTGCTCTTATCATTGCCAATTGATTTTGAGATGTAATTTCATGAATATTAATATCGTACTATCATGATTTGAATTCCATGAATATTAATATCGTACCATCATGATTAAAAGCTAACAAAGGTTTATAATCCATTTGGTAGGTGTTGTTAAAAATCTCTTATTAATGCATGTCGTCTTTTTATGAGTATTCTTAAAATTATATATATGCGAAAATGAGTTTTTTTTTCGATTGTTTAAAAGTTAGAGAGTTAAAAAGATATGCTACGAGGTGAAGTGTGAAAATTGCAATTCCATCTCGTATAACTTTACTTTTGGTTTCACCTCAAAAGGCTCGTACAATGAACATAATTGTCCTTCCTTATATACTATAAATCATTCTCTAGAGCCTCAAAATAGCTAAAATTTTGATTAATATATGAAGTTGTTTTTAAATATATAAATATATGTATTGCATAAAAAGGATTTAAATGATACATATTGAAGAAAAACTACCAACATATGAAAAATTTTACTAACAACCCTTCAATTGACCAGTATGAATTGGACTAAAACTTTAGTCTAAAATTTAAATTTTCTTCTCCAAATGAAGGGTTTAAAAAGGTATGGAAAGAACTAAATTAGAATTGTTGAGATAACGTAGAGCCAAAACCACAAATGGGCCTAAAATAAAGTAGAAGAAGCCCAAACTTTTTTTTAATTGCTCCTAAATAGTACATTTTTGGGAGGGGGATCGAACTCACAAACTCATGGTTGGAGATATCTACCAATTAGCATGAAGTTATGCTCGCTTTGACTTTAATTGTTCTTAATATTCTCCAATGTCTGCCACCATTCATATTCATGTAAAGTTTTTTAGGTCTTGTTGGTGAGATTAAAATCTGCACGAGAAAAATTAAAAGGTGGCGGCAGTGTTGTTCAACAAATGAGAAAGAAAAGAGAATTTGGTACGTAGAGCATCGTCGACTTCCGTTATGTATCCTTAAGTAGCTCTTGTGTTATTGTATTGCTTAGAAGTTAGGCGACCATTGTTGTGCTATCTAAAAAGAGTATTGTGGAGCGTTTTGTTGTGACAATTAAGATAAACATGAAAATTAAAGCTTCTATAAAGACGGATAACCCCAACACATCAAAATTCATTGTCCATAAATACAACGATCAAAATGAAAATTTTAAAAATACATGGATGAAAATGAACCAAAATTGAAAAATAGTATTTAAAGAGGGGAAAAAAAGCAAAGGATGGAAATAAATTAAAATCGTAAGAAAAAAAGCTAAAAAGGTCGAACAAACTTATCTTTTTTTTATTTCTGAGTAATGAAAACAATTTTTTTTTGAAAAAAAAAAGTCAAAAAGGTAATAAATGAAAGATAATTTTTTTAGAAAAGAAAAAACGAAGAAAAGTAATAAATTAAAGTCGAACAAATTATTTATATTTTATTGTGATAAAAGAACCAACCATATTATGGGATTTGAATCTTACACTTTATATAACACATTAATTACACCCTTTTGTAACATATACAACTTAATTACATTCCTTTAATTGCTTATTAATAAAAATAAAAATCTTCCTAAAAGAAAATCTCCTAATATTCCAGCTTTCTATGTAATATTCTCTACAAGGAAATAAGTCTCTGCCAACCTTAATTCAAATTAACCAATGGACCGTTGGTAATAATTATTTTTCCTTTATTTAGTTTTTTGCCATATTTTTTTTGCTGTCTTCTATGCATCATACATTCTTTTGCTTTTCTTTTATAGGTTAGAATACTGTACCAAAAGTATCAGTTCACTACAGAACATTATTGGCTCAAATTCTTTGATTTTATATCGAAGAAAATCAATTTTCCATCTGAGAGATGGATTCCAAAGCAAGAACGTGGTTCGCGATACTACTGTTTGTTGTTTGTTTAAGCTACCACTGTAGTCAGGCATCTCATTCTAACCTCTCAAGAGAAGAAGAACTGGAGTTAGAAGAGCAACTCAAACTTCTCAACAGACCGTCCATCACAACATTTGAGGTTCTTTCATTGATTGAGACATTGTTCGTTATATATTTTGTAAAGGAGAAAAATTTACACTTTTAGTTGATTTAAGACAGATAAAATAGGTTAGGAGGTTTATTTACTCTCTCTCTCTCTCGTTGTTTGGGTTAGACTAAGGAAGGAGAAATCATTGATTGTGTCGACATTCATAAACAACCAGCGCTCGACCATCCTTCACTAAAAAATCACAAAGTTCAGGTAATTGTATATTTATTTGATACATCTAATTTAGGTATTTAAATCTTTATTTTATGCGTCTAGTTATTGTGTTGACATCAATACACAACCAGCGCTCGATCATCCTTTTTTTTTTCTTGTTGTGTGTATGATAGATTCGACCAAGTACATATCCATTTGGCTTGTCAAAAGATTCGACTTCATCAAAAAACAACGTACTCTTAAATGACAAAAGTAGATTGTCCTATTGGATATGTTCCTATAAGAAGAACACTAAAGAAAGATTTGATTAGAATGAGGGTCTCTACCATCAATGCAACCAACTGGTATTAAAGCAAGTACACCAGGGGCAGTCAACTTTCCATACAATCAAAATGTAAGCCTCTCTCTTGCTTGAGTCAATTTCTTAGAGAAGAAAAAAGATTAGAAAAACATCTTTCTAATTAAGTTACTAATACATTCTTATTGTATATCTCTTTTCTTTTTGTTGGATAAGGTGGTTTCTCTTGGTTTGAAGAGAGGCATTCAATATTATGGAGTTGGTGGGTATACGTCTGTATACAATTTGAGTGTGGCTCAAGATCAATCTTCTTCTTCTAATATATGGATAGTTGGTGGACCTCCCGAAACTCTCAATGTAATAGTGACAGGTTGGCAAGTAAAATTTTTTTTAATTCTTTTTTTATCATCCTGACTTTAAGGCGATTATAAGTGTTAAAAAAAAGTGATTTTTTTAGAAAAGAGGTAACATTTAATTGAGAGGTAGGTAAGGAACATCCAAAAATGAAAGAAGAGACCTATAAAAAAGTGCCGCTTTAATATTTGAGGGAAATGGTGGGAATAGCATAATTATAAAGGGGGGATTTTGATCAAGACCATATAGAAGCGGTGATCTTGATATTCTCCCAAATACTGGTCATGTAAACTTTTGATATTGTTGCAAAGGTGTAATTCTTCTCCCTCCCTTGTTTATGATATTAATTAAGTATGCTTTTTAATTTGGTGGTTTGTGGGACAACTTTAAAGTGGTGGTCTGCATTAGTAATTTATATATCCAATAATTCTTTCTTAGAACTTGTTTATAGCATATTAATTCCTTTATATTATTTGGTTTATCAGGTGAATCCAACGATCAACGGTGATAGTCTCACTAGAATGTTTGTGTATTGGACAGTAAGAGAACTGCCATATTCTTCCACTTTTTATTAGTTTATTCTTGTAATGTATTGCATTATAAATTTGTGACCGTCTAAACTTGAAAGTCCACAATATGAGTTTTAAAGGGAGATATATATTATCTACTTTTTTAATCATAGTCAGTTATTTTTATACTTATTTTTGTAATTTTAAATATTGATTTCAATTATTATCTCTGAAAAATTTAACAGGCTTTGTCGAGGTTTTGTACAAACAAATCCAAGTACTCCTCCTAATATCCCTCTTTACCCTTCGTCTACATATCAAGGGAAACAATATGACTATTCATTTACGGTTTTTCAGGTAACAAAATTTTCATCACTCATATATGACATATATAATATCTAAATAAATCATGTCTATCTTACTAATCGTATGATATATTATCCACTCTAAGCCTAAAATCACAATATTTTTTATTTCGGTGTCTCCATCGATATTCTTGTTCTCACACGTGTATATCATGGATCTTCCCCGATTCTAGGATCGATCAACGGGGGATTGGTGGCTTGCAGTGAGTGATAGCCAAACAACAATAGGGTATTGGCCAAAGGAGCTGTTTGGACATCTGAATGATGGGGCAGAACAAGTGGCATGGGGAGGCATTGCAAAGCCTTCACCAAATGGAATGAGCCCTCCATTGGGGAATGGCCACAAGCCAAATAATGGTAAATACAATGAAGCTTGCTACTTCAAATCCATAAACTACATAGATGGCAATAACAATGGCGTAGATCCTGCTTATGAGAACATAGTGAGTCATGTAAGTAACTCTGATTGTTATGGTTTGTTTGATGGCGCCGGTACATGTGCGGCTGATAACATGTATTTTTGCTTCACTTTTGGAGGACCCGGTGGAAACAATTGTAGGGCAACCTAGATAATAATGTTGAACTTTTTGTTTTATGCTATGTATGAGATTGTTACTAACGTTATTCCCCATGACCAAATAATTCAAGAAGTTCCAGAAGTTCAGCAGTTAGGGCCAATTGTTTCTGATCTTGTCAGTCTTTAAATTTTAGGTTCTTTTTCAGTGATATACTCATGCATAAAAACTAGTTTAGTCACGACGATTCTGTTGGGTTCGTAAGAAGAGTGCAAACAAAGTCTCACATTGGTTAGGGAAGGGGTGATTCATGGTATATAAGAGATGACAATTATTTTCATTAGTATTGGGGAACCAAAAGCAAAGGCGTGAGCCATTTGTGAAGATACTCAAGGTATCGTTGTCCTTAACATATTAAAAAAAAAAATTTAATTCATACCACTACACTTATTACATATTACATATGTATATTTGACACATTAAATTTACCAACCTTGTTTTTCATCAACTTATTAAGTTCGGTTGAACAACTTTTTATATCTTCTTCCTCCCAGAAGATTATAAGTGGCTCTCTCCCTCTACAAAATCAATGTGCCATCTTTGAAGCCTGTGGTTCATCTGGTTGGCCTCTTTTTTGACAGAGAATCCTCTCTTTGGAGAAATATTACAGATACTTTCAATAATTAAAAATATTCTCATACTCGGAGTAAAATTAGCCTCACTAAGATTTTCGTGCCAAAATATCTTGTTAATAAATTTTTTGTTTCATTTATGGTAAAAATATTTGAGCAAAAAATTAGTTGATTGTCTAACACATAGGCTAATAATAATATGTGAATCTCTCCGATGCATTTATCACATTCATTTCGTTTATAAATCATTAAATAGCATACTTTGGGAATTGTTTTAAGCCATATAGGGATTTAGTAAGCCTACCCTGTTTGCTCTCACGCTCAGACTCTATAAAACCTTCAGTTGGTCTATATAAATTTGTTATTCTAAATCAAAACTTGTCTTCACATCTATTTGTTGATCTACTCAAATAAAAAATTGCAGCGATTGCTATTAGCAATCTAATTGATGTGATTCTCGTAACCGGGAAAATGTATAAAAAAAGTCTACATCTTCTTTTTGTTTGAAACATTTCTCGATAAGTCTAGTTTTGTAATTGTCTATATTACCATTCGGTTTAGGCTTTTTTCTCCCCTTTACACCTTTTATGGTATTTACAACCTTGTTGTAAATCAATTAATTTCTAAGTTTTATTTATAAATGAGTGATTTCTATTTTATCATTCATAGCCTATTTCTAAAAAATTGCATCCGGAGATGATAAAGTTTATTACAAGGAAACATGTCTGATTAAGCTTATTGCAAAGAAAGTGGTGTTTCTTACCCATTACAAATATAAAAATTAGGACGAAAATATCTTTCACAATTCTAGCTCTTTTACTTGTTCTCAATTCTACTAAGAAGAATTGTATTTATTATTATGACTGGGAGCAGAGGATCCAAACTTAACAGAAGTTCGCCCATCACGTTGACCCCACTATTTTTGGAATTGAAAGAAAACTTTCTTTGTGAAAAATTGCATCATTTGATTTAAACCCACATGGACCAAATTGAAATTAAGCCTAAATGGTAGGAGGAGGGTACCAAATTAAAACTCTTTAAAATGGGTAGGAACAAAATTTATAACCAACCCAAAATACCAAATTTATAATTAAATCATGGTTAAAATACTAGTTTGATCTCTGTACTTTCAGCCTTGGTTCATTTTGGTCCCCGTACTTTGAAAGTGTTCATTTTGGTCCCTGTACTTTAAATTTTGGTTCAGTTTAGTCCATGTATTTTGAAAATGTTCATTTTAGTCCCTATACTTTTAAAAAGTTATCATTTTAGTCTCTCTTTATAAAATTTTAACACATATTTTACGCATAACGACAACTTTTTAGTATAAAGTAATGTTTATATTTGAAGAAATATATTGATTTTAGTGTCGGGTTGAAATTGTGATAAAAAAATGAGATTACGAATAAAATTAAGGGACTAAAATGGTCACTTTTTAAAAGTAGAGGGGCAAAAATGTACATTTTGAAAGTACGGGGACTAAAATAACAAAAGTTTAAAGTACAGGGACCAAAACGAACAGTTTCAAAATACGAGGACCAAAATAAACCAAGGCTGAAAGTACAGGGACCAAATTAGTGTTTTAACCTTAAATGATCGTTAATTATCCTACCACGGTCCACCATTATATTGATATGTTTCTCATGAATCATCTCTTTATCGCCTCTTTTTAAATTCAATAATTAACTTTTTGTACAATTTTCAAAGAAAATATATCTATTCATATAAATTTTAAAAGTTTAAGAAACAACTTTTGAAAAACAAAAGAATGATTATAAAGTTCATCATTTATATTTACAAACAGTAATATCTAAAACCAAACATATTCTACTCCCATTTTGTGTATTTTTTCTTTAATCTACATGCAATAACATATCCATATTTGTGTGTACTTCCTCACATACATCAATGAAATGGAATTAGTTCCTCTTTCAAAAAAACATAACATATCCACAGCTTGTTAATTAATTTGTTAATTAATTTTGGTGGTCTGTTTTTAAAAGTTGGGATCCACAGCTTTATCTAGGAAAGAAAATTAGTGAGGAGGACAGAGTTAAATGCATTTTTCTCATATTAATATGCTAACAAGTTTTATTAAACTACATTAAAAAAAAATCAACTTTTAAAATTATAGACACCAAACTCAAACTGGTAAAGATTAAAGTAAATTTTGCTGAAAAGGTTTGAGCATTATTTAAGATGATATATATATACATAAAAGAGATAAAGAAAATATATATGTATATATATTGTAATCGATGGAGCCAAGTCAAATTTTTGTTAAAAGCTCTAATTAAAGGGTAAATATTAAATAATTAAAATTCCCCACCTTAAAATTCTAAGAATGATTTATATTTCAACCTATTGTCTATTCTCAACAACCATGAAACAAATTTTTAATGGTGTGAACTAAAATAAAAGCTATTTGTATTTTGATAACCAGGTAACCAAAAAAAGAAATGTTTGTTTCATTAATTATACTGAAAATAGCATTAAAAAAGAAGGTTCATTAATGAGAGCATATGAAGTGCATTTATAAATTATAATGGATACCATAAAAATAAAAGGCACTAAAGAAGGAAAGCAATCATTTTTTTTTCTTAATTAATTTGTTTGAAGGGTTGAAATAATGGGTTCTCATATTAAAAAATCACATATTTTGTTAAATATTATATCCTTCACAATTTTTTTTTTCACATATCAGTTTAATTATTATTTATTACAATTTAGTAATGGTGGATTAATTGATAACATTTAATTGGTTAAATTGAAGAACTCTATTAAGAGGGTTTTGGTTCCTTTAACTTCCAATTATTCTACTCTTATTATTATTATTTTTTAAATGTGTATGATAAGACTGATTAGTAGTTAATTTTTTTCCTTTTTTTCTTTTTCCTTTTCTTTTTTTGGAAAAGATACCTTGATTAGTAGGCTTCCTAATTTTCCAGTGGGAAGAAGCTAAGTCTATATTAATGTGCCACTCCCATTATAATTTATAGATTTGTAATCGATTTTAGAAAAGAAAAAAAAAGGCTGTAAGAATAAAAAAAAAATAAAATAAAACTTCTAAAAAGTAATTACTGAATCATCGGTTTACTTTATTCTAATAATTAAAAATATATTTTTGGTCCATATAATGAATCTACTCGGTTTATTTTGGTTTTAAGTTTACAAAGTTCTATGATATCATAAATTCAATCTTTATTTTATTTTATTTTTTAGAAAAATTCAATCATTGTGGTTAAAATTTGAATAAAAATTAAAAGAAAAGAAAGACATGATCTAATAATTGTCACTTAATGTATCAGTGTATAATTTAATAGTTTCCTGAGATGAGAGTGTAATATACTATTTAAGAGAATGAATTAACACTTACTTTTTTTTTTTTAAATGTACAACATTTTGAAATATGGAACTGTTATAGTTTTCAAAATTACGAATTCAGTGATTTCAATAGGTACAATATCACATTATCTTTTTTTTCAAAAGTAAAAAAGAATTAAATTCAAGAAAATCCAAATATTTCACACTAAAAATGACTTAATGTATTCACATTTCCATAGCATTTATGGTTCTTTATAATAAAGGGGAGGCTACAAGAAAACTAAATTAAGTTTGTTGGAGGTGAATTTTCACGCTTACACGTGGCAAGCAATAAACCATAAGTCCCATCACTTCGGACACATTCACATGTGCCCCCGAGCTCTCTGTCCAGCTCGTCCTAACCGATCCTAAGTTTGGAGACTTGATCATTTCTTGATCAAACAAAATTCTGAGCTGAAATTGTTGAATCAATTACCCAAATCTTATTAATTATAGCTACATAAAGGGCTAAGGAAATGAATTAATTTCTCGATCCACATTTTGAACTTTACAATCCTTCCTTACTTTAGAAATCTTAAAAAATAACCATATAAAAAAAGATATAGCAATAATTATTGCTGGAAAAAGTGGCATTATATAAAATATTTTTGGAACACCCCCAAGAGACGTCAGTTTTGGTACTCCTCCTGCATATATTATACATTAATTTTATTTTATATATTGAGTTACCACCATGGATATAAGTGTTAGAAAAAGAAAAAATAATAAGA